CTAATTATTCACCTCGATGAGTTTATAAGCGCTTTTCACAACTTTCAGAAGCCACACCAGAGTTTTGCCATCATGCTACCAAAAACAAGCATGGTACCAGTGCACTTCACAGCAGTTTATTGATACTTTGCAGCTGATGTCGTCTACATTCTCTGGGATTGTGATGCCAACTTTAGGCACAACTGTCTGGGGTTTGTTAGACTTTAATCTGAGCTTTATTTTAAGACAATCTGACCATCAAGAGTTGATTTAGTTGGAACTACAACAGTGCAGATGATTGTGCCGTTAAACAAGTCCCTCTTTATGACTCTCACCTTTTTTGTTGAAACTCAAGCACCTAAACAAGACCATGAATGCCCATATTGACCGCAGGCACCTGAAAATGTTTTGTGAAAATCCAATTTGTGTTTTTTAGACCATCTTGAACCTGTTTCAACGTAGAGATACATGTTGAATACCCCAGCGTAGGGTGACCAGATGTTCCCAGTTTTGAGCCCTATGTCCCCTGTCCCTGCAGATTTATTCAAAACCAGTGATTTGTCCCAGTTTATACAAGAAATGTCCCAGGTGTCTCTATTTTTGACCAATTTGATCTAAACCAGGACTACATCAGGTCTAAACTAGGACTATCACAATTTTTGTCTAATCTGATCCCTGCCAACTATTGCTAGGTATCATAAAGAAGTTACCAATATGACACATACCTCGATACATAGGCCATAATACGATACATATCTCTTTTGATTCTATATGATATATTTCAAAATCGATTGAAATTGATACAGGTCAATAAAAAATAAAGGCTAAATCATGGCTGTGACAGTAAAAGTCTCTGTTAAAGTACTTCTTGTGTAAGGTGAATATGAAAGACAAACATTTTAATCAGTGAAAATGTCAAATGTGTCACATAAATGAGTTTCCTTAATCTACAAAAGCAACAAAACTGTATCACTGTTACAAAATAATTCATAAACTATATCAAAAAATATTCCAAAAATACAATACAGTAGCCCACAATATCGATACTGTATCATCAAGTTCTCGTTTCCAGTTAAATGTGACTTGTATGTGATCTCCAGTGTGAACTTTAAACGCCCCAAAAGTGTCACACATGAGCACACTGGGCTTGTCTCCCAAAATATGGTCCAGTTCTTGGTAATAAAATGGACAGGTTACACGTCCACGGCTTTGTTTGAGTCCAGCTCACGATATCGATAGTGTATCATCACATTAAACGATACGATATACCGATATTTTAATATTTTTGTACACCCCTACTGCCAACAATAAAGAGGAGCATAAATTGTAATTTTCAAGTGACCATAGAGCAAAAAAATGCAATGACAGAAGTCAGTCAGATTATGACTGACATGAAGATGCACAATCTTACACGCTCTTTTCACAATTTTATTTATACCAACCATCCCAACCCAGGTGTGTCCCAGTTTAAAATTTTGAAGATCTGGACACCTTACCCCAGCGTGACGTCACTGCAAAGTATCAGTTGGCTGCAAACACTTCACAGCTGACTTATTTTGACTTCAAGACCAACTTATGGGCCCGGTCAAGCAGAAGTAAACAGCAAGGCCAAAAATTCAAGTTAATGCATCTGATATAAAAATGTATTGAACAGATACATATGTACTCTAGTTTATGAAACTGTTGACCTTTTTTCTGTACCATTTTTGGTTCTAAAGTTCCATATGTTTTAAACAGACCATGTATGAAACATGGAACAAAAATTATTTCCCAAATTTCAAAGACCTGCAAATCATGTAAATAAATGGATGTATTTCATCATATCTTGTGTTATTCCATCTTTGAACTGTTGATGAAGGTACAGGATTTTTCAATTTTCAAAATGTATTTAAAATGATAAAAATTTGCTTGGAAGGACTGACATATTTGATAGAAATAGTTTCCTTTCATTTTGAAGTAATATTAAAGTATTCAGAAGAAAAAAGTTGACAAATTATGTAAAATCCTGCACCTTCTACTTTCTTGCACAATTTTCCCTCCGTTACTTTTCCCTCCGTTACCATGATCTTTCTTAATAAAAAATCTCATGAGTCAAAAAGTAAGAGGTTTTTCAACCTAATCTTGTACCATATGGTAGAAAACTATATGAAGCAAATATTCAAACCAGTTTGTTAAGGATATGTAAGTGAGAACCAAGAGTTATCACTGTTTGGATTTATTGCCCAAAAAGTGCTGCATATTTCATTCCCTCCGTTACCAACATGAGTTTTTAAATTTTTTGTCAACAACTTGAAAGAATATCACAGGTTTAACTTGACCCTGTTGGAGTGTAACTCTTTCCTACATTCTGATACTTTACTTATTTCAATAGTCCCTCTAGTTTCTGAATAAGAGACATTTGAATGTCAAAAATCTGCCCTGTTTCCCTCCGTTACCACTTGACCGGACCCTTATACAATCTATCTGTACTGTGGACGAATTTTGCTCAAATACATGGGAAAAAAACTGGGTACAGGGCGCTTAAATAAAATCGTGAAAAATAAACCTTCAATCTTAATCTTATCCTGTTTGCAAAAAAAAAATCCAAAATAAACACTTCTCTCTGTCATGCCTGGAGAGCTCCACTAGCACATGGAGGCTAAACACGACTCAGATAAAGTGCTTGTGTTGACTTGCTGCTAAAAGCTCGCCGTGGTCCGCCGTGGAGCTGGAATCCGACCCGACGAGGAGAGCACTTGTGTGGGAGCGTGTTGGGGGCGTCCCTGGGGGCGGTGGAGCAGAGTAGAGCAGAGTGGAGCAGAGTGGAGCAGAGTGGAGCAGAGTGGAGCAGAGTGTGAACGGATGTAGTCAAGGAGCCAGTTCAGTTGAGTTCCCCTGACGGCACAGCTGGAGGGCCCGTATGGACAGACATGCAACAGGCCCCCTCTTAAAGCTACACTGTACACTATTAGAACAACTTGAACACCCTATTGTGTTGAGTTTAGCCACGTGTCATTCTGCACTTTCTCATCACGCATCAAGAACTAAATCAAAACTTGTGATGGAAGAAACTGTTTTGGGAGCTACCTGTCTAGAGCAGTCAGCAAACACACAGCCCTAAGATCCTTTAGTTTGCAGATCTTGGTCAGGGGCACCTAGCTGGAGGATTGGGTCTATTGTATTGGTATTTTAGGCCCCCATCCACACTAGTACGTACTCGAGTCGGATTCATTGTGGATGCAGTGTTCGTCCACAACAAACGCAAATGCTGCAACAAATAAAAATGCGACAACACAACAAAAAGCCACAACAAACCAAAAAAAGCCGTAACAGAAATGACTGCGGGACTCTATTTTAAAGCAAACGCCGCAACAAATACTAATGCCACAACACAAACGCAAATGCAGCAACACATTAAAAAGCCACAACGGAAGTGACCGCGGGACTCTATTTTCCGACGGACCGATCAAACGGCAAGTGAAGAACTACAAAGTGAAACGAATAATGATAAAACAATAAATTACTTTTACTTATGTTTCCAAGTGTGTTGCAGCGTTTGTGTTTGTGTTGTGGCATTTGTATTTGTTGCGGCGTTTGCATTAAAACAGAGTCCCGCGGTCATTTTCGTTGTGGCTTTTTTTGGTGTGTTGTGGCTTTTTGTTGTGTTGTGGCATTTGTATTTGTTGCGGTGTTTGCGTTGGTTGTGACCCCTCTCGGCTTCCGTACTAATCCGATGGAAAACAGCTCCAGAAACAGAACGATCTCGTGCCACCAGCTCCCACGAATTCATCTGAGCACTGTGTGGATGCCTGAAAAGTTCACTGTGACTTGCGCCTTCCTGATTCGCTGGGCTCGTGACATTGGTCATGTGACACTATTGTGGAAAAGAGTTTAAACAAACCAGAGACAAATGGGAAACAACAGAGCTAAAGCTACTTAGAACTGTCTGGATGCAAATCGTTTCCGATATGGTGATACAGTGATTTGCTTCAGTGTAAATGTAACCTTAGACTTATCAAGCCTGTTTTAGAGGTGCACAATGTGGTCTTACTGTTTTAAAAAAGATATTTCAATCACAACTGAACCTGGAAAGCCTTAATCTGCAGATAGAGGACACGTTATAGATGATTTGATTTCCGTGCTGTACTGAGGGATCTCACTGCCAGTTCAGTTCTCACTGCCAGTTCAGTGCTTGTTATCTTGGCCTATGTCATCAGAGGTATAATACTCCCTACAGTGGCAGCACAGCCACACTGAACTGCACTAGGCTGGAATGGACAACACTAACACAGAGTCCTGAAGGTCTCTGTGTTCTGTGCTGGGTCCTGGACTGATGTAAATAAACTTCTCGTGTGGTAAAACTCATATCTTTTCTCTTCAACTCTCCGGCTATTAGTATTTATTCTAAAGAGGACATGTACAAGTTTGTCTCATTCTCAGTACATGGACAGGCCACTCCTCATGTGAAGCTCAGAACCTCCAGAAGTCCCTCTCTGAGCTGCAGAGGCTGCACTAGCACTGACTTATGACTGGCTGCAGGTTCTGGGGTTTAGGTAGAGACGATTCAGATCAGGAGAGGCATTTTAGCACTGAAACTGGCAACCCAAATGAGAGACTTGTGTGAGGCTCAGTCAGCTTTCTGATTGGATAATGAACCTGAAGACCAACTTACAACAACTTGACCATGTCCAATGTTTTTGAATTTAAAAAGTAACATTACAGTTGTGATCAGTAAAACCTATATTTGATTTTATACATGTGTACCTCGAATCTGAAGACACAGAAAGGTCATGTTTTTGAAATTTAAAGCCAAAATCTCACATACAGGTTGTTTAGTTTAATGCAGGCAATCTGTTTCCTCCAGAAGAACATGCAAACTCCATCTGGAAATCTGTTCGCACTCCTGCATGTTTGTCTCCTCGTCAGTATCTCAAACCTTTGTTACACCCGCTGATGCCACAGAATGGTTTGTCTGTGTAAGTCTACATGGCTGGTGCACACTTGACTTCCACAGTGTGTGAGATTGTGTGGAGTGGACTCACGAGGGATGGTGACGCTGAAGTGCTGAGGGTCTGAGATGATCAGCTTCCTCTTCAGAGCGTTCATCCCGACTCCAGTGGGACCTGAGAAGGCACACAAACATGTCATGAAATGAAGTCACTAAGTTTACATACACAGGGAGCTCCGAGTGCGCTTAACAACCACATTGAAATCATCTTTGCCCCAAAACCAGACCACTCTTGTCCCAGTCCACAGCTGGTCAAAGAATCAAACTGGTGCAAATCATGAAAGAATCAGATCTGGAAACCAACCAAAGATGATGTTGTGTTGTTTAGAATCTAGTAATTTAGCATTACCAGTAACTTCGCAGTCATAAAGTAATAAATAAAGCACATCTCTCTTTGTCTCTTGTTAATAGTGTAGTAGGGGTATACCACAACTAGTATCACTAAAAGATCCCTCATTCGAGCAAGCACTGATATAAAAAAAATCATAGGACAGAAATGAATAGGGGTATAACAATAACCAAAATATTGTGAAATCATATCGTCAAAAGTCTCTCAATAATATCGTGGACCACAATATATTGAATCGCAAGTTTCTTTGCTTAAATTCATAGTTATAGTGCAGCAATAGCTTAAAAAAGTGAGGGAACTACATAGACCATGATCCTTTGCTCCGTTTTGGTGCAAAGTGCATGAAAAAAGCAGTTCTAAGCACTTTGAAATCTTAGTTCTATTAGTCTTTTTCAAGTCATTTTAAGAGGAAAAAGTAGCATATTCACAATGTTATTAGCCTCCACAAAATATCGCAATATCGTACTGTGAGATGTATATCGTGAAAATATCGTACCGTGAGATTTGAATATCGTTACATCCCTAGAAATTAAGCTTTCCTGAGTAGCTTTAGAACAGGGATCTCCGACCTGTTGCTTGAGAGCTACCAGTACCTCACCGCCCCCTTCCAAGGAGCTCACCATGAAATTTCTGAATTATACGTATTGTACTTAATAACTAAATTGTGCTTTTTTTTAAATTGATTAGATTTTTTGATTCCTAATTTATGCACTAATGAATGGATATGTGTTTCCCGTAGCGCTTTATAGACAGGGTGACTGCCTTGACAACAATTGCCCCCTGCCTTGACTATGTCCCTTCGAACCACGTCAGTCCTCGCAAAACCTCATTTTTGCCCTATCCCCCGGGTCCTCACTTTTGCCGGTACAGTTTCTCCTCGGTCACCATCTTTACTAACCAATTATCTGCGGGAAACACTGTAGGTTTGCCATGGCTCTTCTACTTTCTCAACTTCTTGCAACCACTAACATTAGTAGCTCTCTGGCATTTTTGTTTTGTAAAGGTAAAACACCAGAGGAAAGAGGTTGGAGACCCCTGTTTTAGAATGATCTTGAGCTGTATCAAGTATAAGAGCACATAGACTAGTATACGCCCATGGATCACTATGGAACCTACCATGGACCCTGACAGATTACACACTTTTAGTTTATACATTTATATGACGACGGTCTGAACAGAAGATGCAAAAGTGGCATAGTGTCTTCACTTTTTATTCCACGTTTAGACGAGCATTTTCGGGAGGAAATTGGCATGCATACTGTGACGCAAAAGTGTGTGGAATTTAACTGGGTATGCATGCCAGGTTTCTTTGTACTGCGTACGCGAGGTGAGCAGATCTGACCAGAGTTTTGCGTCTTGGGCAGTGTAGATGGAAACACTACGGCGTAGTGTATTCAACTGGTTTCAGATTTTTGCGTTTTTAAGCCGCAAAAACATCGTCACAGTTTAAACGAAAGGCACTTCTGATAAAATATTTTGTCGTTTTTACCCGCAAGCCTTCTCATGTAAACAGGCCCTCAGTCAAACAAAATGACTATGATTTAAACGTGCATTGTGTAACTTTTCTGGTGGAGGGTCTGTCAATAGTTTTTCTCAATATTGATGTTATTACTTTGACTGGAATGTTTCACAGTATGGCATTAAACCTTTCTACCTTCATGGAGACCAAACCAGACTAAGTTACAGGTCAGATCTGTGGAAAGGCAACCCCGCTCACAGTCAGAATCTGTTTTTCTCAGTATTTTTTGAGTTATAAAAACACTTGTAATTGAGTAAATGTACCGTAGAACTGTTTAGTGGAATATTCCGGGTAGAACATTGACATCTCCAAAGAAACAGACGGACAACCAACCAGAATGTTACATAGTTTAAATTTGAAAATCACCTTTTCTTGTCTGAAGAAAGAGTTTTTTTAACATCAGTGCAGTATCAGTTGAATCTCATAAAGTTGTCCGTCTTTCTACCTGCTTTTTTTTGTGTTTTTTTTTTCTTTAACAGTGTAGGTCAACCAATGTTTTGCTGTATTCTAATCAATCCACCACAGTTTACAGTTCAATTGCCGTACCATTAAAAGCACTGGCAGCGCTCGAAAGCCCCAGCACAAAGAATCGATTAAGTCTTTTTCCACTGGCTCGGAGCTGAACGCCGTGTGCAGACTCGTGTCACTACAAACGCTCCATCTGGTTAGCGCATTAGTTCTACAGAGAGACGGACTGCACTGGAGCGGAGACCTTCACATTCTATTAGGAGCGGTTGTGTTCGGAGTCGGGATCAGACCAGTGTGTCAGTCCGTTTTCCTTTAGCTCGAATTATAGCGTCTCCTAAAGATGGTCGATGTGCGTGCGTCATCCTACTCTGGCAACGACGTTCAGACAGTAATCAATACATTAAAGGTCCTATGTGACACAAAATGGATTCTAGTGAGCTTCAAGTCGTGATGTTATTTTGTTGCCTCATCAAAACTTCAGTCCATCTACGTCTCCAAAGCTCAAAATGCTCTGCAACCTTGAAGAGCTAGTTTTCATGTTAGTTATTTTATCTTTTGTTCAGTAGAGATTGGCAATTCAATGATTCTTACGATGGTGTATGAAGTTTAAAAACATAACAGAGACTTCCACTTTGTGATGTCATTAAGTGGTAATGCAGGAACAGTGGAAGAGCCTAATTAAGTAGGGTTTGTGTGTTAAACTTGTGAATGAAACAAAACACAACTCCAGGTAATGTTTGAGCACAACATGGGCCCTTTAACAGTAATCAATATACAAAAAATTAAATGCTCAAGCGCTAACACTAACCTACACTTTATTTATTTGAAAAAGTTCCATGCCAAACAATGACCATTCCAGGCGAAGGAATAATATCATCTTGGACACAAACAGGTGGCAGCCTTGCACTAGAAAAGTTACAAAGAGCACCTTTATTGTATGTAAGTTTCTGGAGGTGGCATGTCACTTGGGATGTGCATTGCCATAAATCTGGTGATACGATACACATCACGATATGTCTGTCACAAGTCAATATATCACAATACATCCCGATACAAAAACAAAGGACCATACATTGTGATTTATCAGTAATTCCGTATAATATTATGGTTCAAGTACACTTTCATGAGAAAAAAAATGAAATACAGTATTACATTTTTAAATAAATCAGAAGAACAGTAAATGGTACAGGTAAAACCTGCAAACCGCTGCAATGTGCACTGGGGAGGTTTGCAGCCGAGTGTAAAACGGCTGGGATGAAGATCAGCTCTTCCAAGTCCAAGGCCATGGTTCTTGACTGGAAAAAGGTGGCTTGCCCTCTCCGAGTGGGTGGAGAGTCCCTGCCTCAAGTGCAGGAGTTCAGGTATCTTGGGGTCTTGTTCACGAGTGAGGGGAGGATGGATAGTTAGATTGACAAATGGATCGGTGCAGAGTCGGCAGTGATGCGGTCATTGTATTGAACCCTTGTGGTGAAGAGGGAGCTGAGCCGAAAGGCAAAGCTCTCAATTTACCGTTCAATCTATGTTCTTACCCTCACCTATGGTCATGAGCTCTGGGTAATGACCCAAAGGACGAGATCTTGAACACAAGCGGCTGAAATGAGTTTCCTCTGCAGGGTGGCTGGGTTCTCCATTAGAGATTGGGTTCTCTAAGAGATAGAGATATTGGGAGGGGCTCGGAGTAGAGCCGCTGCTCCTCCATGTCAAGAGGAGCCAGTTGAGGTGGCTCGGGCATCTATTCCGGATGCCTCCTGGGCGTCTCCCTCGGGAGATTTTCCGGGCATGTCCCACCGGGAGGAGGCCCCAGGGAAGACCCAGCACAAGCTGGAGAGACTATGTCTCTCAGCTGGCCTGGGAACACCTCAGGGTCCCCCCGGAGGAGCTGGAGGAAGTGTCTGGGGTGAAGAATGTCTTGGAGTCCCTGCTTAGACTGCTACACCTGCGACCTGACCCCAGAAGAGTGGAAGGTGGAAGAAAATGGATGGATTTTTCATAAAAAATCTAACCTTAAAAAAATCGATCCAGATGCATTTTGAATTGATGTAAGAATCACAATGAAGTATAACAATTTATCACTGAAACAATTTTTTCTTACACCTCTACATGTCACCTGCATGATCCCATGGAAATAGAAAGTTAAACCATACTTTGGAAAGTTCATCATGGACACTGATACATTTTATACTCTTTATGATTATAGCTGAAGGAACAACATTTCCAACTACATTTCCACGGAAACAAACCCTCCTCCAGGCCAAATAAGAGCAGAATTATCATTTCATAATCCACTTTGCAGCCTCTGTCATCCTTAGGTCTGAACATTGCTACTGAAGTGTGGAGTGCTGCAGTGGACTGGAGCAGGCCTGAGATTCCACACATGCCGAGCGTTCTGGACAGGCACTACTATCACATCAAACTGCTGCTGGAGAGCCATCGGAGCACGCAGATGTGTTTAGCAGCCCGCCGCCGGACAATGGGTTCAGTCAGCGAGAGGGAGAGAGACGGGGGGAGGAGAGAGGGACAGGGAGAGAGAGGGGGAGAGACCAGAGGAGTGTGTTTTCCTCTGGTGAATTTCTCCACATTTCATCAGCTCTGTCCAGGGAATAATAGAGAGTACAGGTGGAAATGTGCGCTCTTGTTAGAAAGTCGGAATTTATGTAACAGGTGTAAAGACGAGCTGCTCATCAAACACTGCAGTGAAATACAGTGTGGTACCAGGAATTCAAACAGACAAGGCGAGTTCTGTATGCCCAGAGACATTACTCATGTCAAACAGAAAACC